AGTGTACAGACTCCGGAGGGGCTCCTTCAGCCCAAGCGCTATAATCTGCACGGACAACTCACGTGCTATAATAATAAAGTATGTTGCAGGCGGGCAGCCCCGATCCACACTCATCCTCACAATCAGGCCCTCGGCCTCACTCAGTCATCAATCTCTCCAGTCTCTCGGGCTCACAATGTCATGAAATAAATAGCCCAAAAATGATGATATGTTATATCAATAAATAACAACAGAGACTGAGATATGATATGCAATAAAATGAATATGACTAAGTATGAATTTTTAATTTAACACAATAATTCACAGTAATATGACCTCTGTGGGTCCCAATAATACTGGCACATAGCCTTAACATGATTTTTAATATGCTTTTCAGCTCAATTTCTTTAACACATAAAACCGCATGGAAAATACCAATATTATTTAACTATAAAATTTCACATAAATAATTATGTCACAATTTCTATAATGCACACCCACACGCCCGTCACCTAGCATGTGCGTCACCTCCCAACAATTCACAAAATACATATATTCAGGGTTCATACCCTCAACTCCAAGATTAGAAAAATTACTTACCTCGAACAGGCCAAATCCAATGTCGAGCAAGCTAAGCAATGCTCCAGAAATTCTATTTTGCGCGTATCAACTTTCAAACGGCTCGAATCTAGTCACAATAATTTGACTCAGTCCACACAATTTATAAGAATTAATTCCATATCAAAATGCTAATATTTTTCATAAAATTCGAAATTACGCCCCAAAAATCACCCGTGGAGCCCACATCTCAAAATCCGACAAAACTCACGAAATACGACAAACCATCTAATTACAAGTTCAACCATACTAATTTCACTCAAATCCGACTCCAAATCGGTATTCAAACTTGAAAATTTTATTTTGTGACATTATAGAAATTTTCTTCTATTTCTCTTGAAGATTCAATAATCTTACACAAAAAATAAAGATTAATTCATGAAATATAATCACAAGGGAGTTAAGAACACTTACCCCAAGTTGCGTGAAAAGTTTCCTATCCAAAATCCCCAACCCGAGCTCCAAAATCCGAAAACGAAATGGGTGAAAATGTCGAACCCTCAAATTTAAGGTGCGGCATTTTCGGACTCCACTCACTTGCCCAGTTTCCGCTTCTGCGCGCATCCGTCCGCATGTGCGCTCACGCAGGTGCGGCATTTTCCCTCGCACCTGCGACTAATGCCTCACAGCCCTCTGCGCTCCTTCTCGCGCAAGTGCGATTCCGCACATGCGAAGCTTCTTTCGCACCTGCCCACCTCGATTCAGCGCACCCCTGCTCGCACTTGCGACTACTTTTCCGCAGGCGCGATTACACCAGAAGGCTTCAGTTCCAGCAGTCTTCCAAATTCAAAAATCAATCTGTTAACCATCCGAAACTCACCCGAGGCCCTCGGGTCCCCGTCCGAACATACCAACAAGTTCCATAACATAACACGGACCTATTCGAGTCCTCAAATCATACCTAACAACCTAAAAAATACGAACTACACACGGATTCAAGCCTAATAAATTTCCAAATTCTACAAACGATGCTGAAACCTATCAAATCACGTCTAATTGACCTCAAATTTTGCACACAAGTCACATTTCACATTACAGACCTATTCAAATTTCCGAAATCGTATTCCGACCCCGATATCAAAAAGTCAAACCCCGGTCAAACTTCTTAAAAATTTAACTTTCGGCAATTCATGTCAAATTCTACTACGGACCTCCAAATAATTTTTCGAACATGCTGCTAAGTCCAAAATCACCATACTGAGCTATTGGAATAATCAAAATTCGAATCCGAGATCGTTTACACATAAGTCCGCATCCGATCACTATTTTAACTTAAGCTTTAAACCTTGGAACTAAGTATTCTAATTCCTTCCAAAACCTCATTGGACCCGAACCAATTACCCCGACAATTCACACAACAATTGTAAAGTACAATTTGAGAAGTAAATGGGAAAACGGGGTTGTAATACTCAAAACTACCGGTCGGGTCGTTACATAATGCCAAAAAGCCTGATACCATGAAAGTTGAGGATTGGGCTGACTTAGATGAAAGGGTTGCTAGTGCAATCAGGATGCACTTATCAGATGATGTGGTAGATAACATCATTAATGAAGACACCGCATGTGGAATTTGGACAAGGTTGGAAAGCATATACATGTCCAAAATACTGATAAATAAATTGTACCTGAAGAAGCAGTTATACGCCCTACACATGGGTAAAGGTAGGATTTTTTTGTCACATTTAAATGTGTTTAACAGACTAATCACACAGCTTGACAATCTCGGAGTGAAAATTGAGGAAGAAGATAAATCCATCTTGTTGTTGAATTCATTGCCATCTTCGTACGATAATTTGGCAACAACCATCCTGCACGGTAAGACTACCATTGAGTTGAAAGATGTCACAT